CACTGTGTTAAGTCCCCCTTTTTCTTCCAACATCTGGAACTGAGGGGGCCAGCTGTTTGGCCCTTTTGGAGAGGAAAGCTGCTCTGTCTGATAGAGGGTTTAGGCTGCTTAGCAGTTCTGGGTCTTGGCTACTTTTTCTGAATCATGACAGAGCTGTAACCAGCTCATAAACAGCATTTCAATTATTTCTGGACGGAATCAGGTCTGTTTTTAATTCAGACAGCTTCTTGAGGTCACAGAGAGTCTCCACCATTGGAGAATCTTTGGATTATTTTAAGTCTGAGGAACATTTTTTTCCTACCATTAACCAGAAAGTTACTGAACTCTGTTCATCTTTACATCTGAGAGACTTTGCATCTCTAAGGTGCTCTTTTTTATATCCAATCATGTGATTGACCCTCTGATAATTAAGATAATTAGCTCCTGCTTCTGTTACCTTTCCAGCATTTTGTGTGACGTGTTACTGATTACGATCAAGATATTGTTCATTTTGACATTTGTTTGATTTGATTTTCCGGAATTTGGGGTTCTGTTTATTCCCTTATTTCCAACCCTCTCTGCACTGTTTTAGTGTTTTAATCTTTCCACCTCGCACACACACACACACACGAATACACAGACTGTAAAATAAACGGATTTGGAGTGTGTCCGCCCGTCCTAATTTGTTGGCCAGTAAAGGCTGACTGAGGCCTAGCAGGTGCTAGACACTTGTCTGTGGAATGTGGAGGCCAGACCTCGGACCTCCCACCGGGAATGTGAGTGTGTGTTGGGCGGAGGGTGTGTGGGTGGTAGCCACCACCTGCTCTCCACCTAATTTCAGTTTTTCTCAGAACCAAAACATTGCTTTGCAACCCACAGGGGGTTTGATCAAAATTATAGTTTTGCTTTAATAAAATTCCCTTTCAATATGAATTCTTATTGCCATATTTAGGCCGAATATATTTGGATTTTTCCAATACAGCCCTACAGTTAGCTGAAAATGGACCTAATAAAACCCAGTTTTGACCAATTTATGTCATATGACATTAAACATGAGGCAAAAACAAACTCAACATGATTGACTAAAATAAAAAAATTTAATCTGTTGTTTAGTTTGAAAATCTGTGGCCTATTTTATTTTTTGCCAGTTATAAGCTTTATTGACATCTGATGTAAAACAAATGGTCACTTTTTCCTACTGTGTCACTAACAATGATTATTGTGGTACGAATTACACAGAACAAACCTATTTATGTTTTATGGCTGAAAGGAGGGGGGCTTTTACTTGGGATGAAAGTGAGGAAGAGTAAGAACTTAGCGATGAAGACTGTGATTAGAGGCTGACTTAGGGGGAGGAAGAATAATAATAAACGAGCATTTTTTGTGTTTGATTTTGGTTTAACTGTTCAATATGTAGAAACTGTAAGAGAGTGTTAACCCACACTGTGAAAGTTAAAGAGGATTGATGAGACATTCTTCAGTTTTAGTTGTTATTTTATTTTATTTGAGGAATTCATTGAAGTACCTGTGTTGGAAAAGGCCCAAAACCACCAAGAAATAATTCAGTTTGTATAAAACTATCACATAACATAATGACGTGTGCAGTAGAGTAGTCACATTTTGTTTGGCCACTTTTAGCTTTGATTGCACATAGTGGCTTCATGTCAGTATATGATGTCACGATTTCTATTAAATTCAAATCCTACATTTTTATCTCTTCATGATTTCTTAATAAGAGACACACTTTTCTCACAGCCCTTGAGCTCTTCTGTTTTTTGCTTTAATGTGTTTAGAAAATTAGTCTAAAATGATTTTTTTTTTGTCTTTAAAGCTTCACAATGGTCTTTTTTTTCTAAAACGGTGCCTTTTATACAGCTGTGTTAATATTATGTCGGATTTTTGCTCCTTCTTGGTGATAATCATTGCATCTGTTTTGGTGTGTGAGGTTTAGACCGAACTGAGCTCCTTCTTGCAGCTCAGCATTAAAAATACGATTAATTTGAGCTTATCAGCTCAACAACGTGCAGCCTGAGTTGAGTGTGAATCAGCAGAAAGGCATCGGTTTGCTTTAATGTAGATTAATGCTACCTGCCTGCTGTCTGGCGTCCTCTGTGGACAGCAATTAAGAGCAGTAATCACCTTTTCATGGTCCGTTCCCTTAGTAGGTCATTATCCTCCAACTCATGCCACCCCCACAGTTTTCCCACTTTACCTAATACATGATAATGAGGAAAGTTTGGAGGGTGTTAATGTTATTGCGCTCTGCTTTTTGTGGGTGTTGTTGTTGTTTTAACTATAAAAGCGTATTTACGTTACTCAGGTGATGTTTGTGCATCTTGAGGAAAGATTCAGCTGGAATTTAACGGAGGTAAAAGGTTGAAACGCTCAGTTATTTCTCCCCCCTTTTTCCTAACCTGTCTTTTCCTCCCTTTCCTCCTTCCTCCCTCATGTTTTAACTATAAAAACGTATTTACATTTTTCGGGCCGATTCAGGTGATGTTTGTGCATCTTGAGGAAAGGATTCAGCTGGAATTTAAGGTAAAAGGTTGAACCGCTCAGTTATTTC